AAAATAATATATGTATTTTTAAAGTTATACAGATTAAGTTAATAAGTAAAAAAGAAGGTCAGAGAGTTTATATAGGAATTAAAAATAAGGAGGGGATATATTTTTAGGCAGAGAAGAGAAAGTGTGATGGTGGGAAACTAAGAATTATAGAATCTGTAACCTAAAAGGATGCTATAAAGATTTCTGGTTCAGGTCAAATAAGAAAAATGATACATAATTATGTAAGCATATACATTTTAATTTTGTCAGTTAAAAAATAAAAGTGAAAACTTCAGAGAAAAATGAGACCTAAGAAAGCCAGGGAGTGCTCAGTGGCCACATAGAGTTGGGGGTCACAGTTACAGCCTGAAGACCTTTAGCCAGACCTTCTCGRGTTGAACCTGTGCAGAAGCAGGAGGTGGCACCTGAGCCTAGGGTGGTCTGGGTGCTCTCCACACCTCCACGCTCCACCTTTTTCCAAGCCTCTGAGTCTTCTAGTGTCCATCTCTTTCCCGTATTGTTGGCCTCTCCCTGCGCTTCCTTCATCCTAAGTGCAGATACAGTCTTTGGCACTATACAGGAAGGCAAGACACCCACCCCCTTTAACTATGAGCTCCTTTCTCTACTTCCCCTGCTTCTGTCCTGTTTTGTGGTGGTGCCATGGCTTGACCCCAGGGTATCAGGCCAGCTAGGCAGACACTGCACACTGAGCTACAGCCCCAACTCCTGCTGGCAGCAGTCTACATTTTCCCCTCTGTGTCTGTAAACCACTTCTTTTTCTCCTTCTTATTTTTAAAAATTTATTTATTTTTGTGGTGCTGGGAATTGAACGCAGAGCCTCATGCATGCGAGCTAAATGCTCTACCACTGCACTGAGCCATGTCCCCAGCCCCTGTAAATTACTGGTGACTTCCCTGCCCAACCCCTCTGTTGAAATGGCTCTCTAATAACCCTCATATTTGTCCTGCTCAGGTCTMGCCACGCACTGCTGTGCAAATCTCCATGTGGGGCTTCTGGTCCCCTTCAGTGTCAAGCCGGTTCTTGGTTGCTTGCAGTTGAGCTGATCCTATCTACACAGTGGAAAGAAAAGGTCTTCCTGGAAGACTGGCAGACATGGTTGAGCCACCTTCTGCGGTTCCCTGGCCAGCAGAATACTGACCGGGCTTTGATGCAGTGGTCCTTGCCCCTCCCTAGACCTGCACATGCTCAGCCTTCCTAATTGGGTACCAAGCGATACCTACTAGGAAGAATTTGAGAAAGAAAGAGGAGTCTGTTTGTTGCTTGAGCAGTGTGATGAGGGGATGGTGGAGGAGAGATGACATGCCTATGTGCCAGGCTTTCACTTTCTTTCTTTCTTTCTTTTTCTTTTAATATTTTTTAGTTGTCAGTGGACCTTTATTTTATTTATTGATTTGTGGTTCTGAGCATTGAACTCAGTGCTYCACACATGCTAGGCGAGCTCTCTGCCACTGAGCCCCAGCCCAGCCCCTTYGTTTTCTTTTTTTATGGTGCTGAGGATAGAACCCAGGCCTCACATGTGAGGCAAAATGCTCTGCCATGGAGCCACATCCCCAGCCCCAGTGGGATGAGTTTTAAGAACGTATATTATTAAACCTAACACATCCCTAGTGTTACTATTTCAGTGTGTAACCAGTATTGTTAATGAGTATTTCCCATTTTTTCATACCCAGTTTAAAAATCTGATGTGTATGGTGCACTGGGTTGGGGCTATGTACTCATGGCTGAGTTGCTTATTCCCAGACAAGTTGTGACATACCAAATATCATTTATTGACATAATTAAATATCATTTATCATCAGTGTTTTGATACTTGTGTCCAGAAAAGCTGTTACCTCRGTGACTGACTCAGATTCATTTGTGGCTCTTAAAGTACATGCAGGACCAGAGAGAGACTGGGTGGTGACCAAGAAGGCTGGCCACAGCGAGGCCTGCACCTCAGGTGTGTGTGGCTTGATGCTGCCACTGTTGGGTTGATCCAAGACCCTGGTGCCTCTGTCACTGAGTACTGCTGCTGTACTGAATGTTAAACTGTCCCTGTCCTCTGGAACAGTGGGAACATAATGCAAGAGGTTGAAGCAATTTTACATTTTCTGGTAGCTTCATTTAAAGAAAGTAAAAAACAATGACATGGTTTTCATATCAATTTTTCAAAAGCTGATGTACACTCAGCACGTTTCASTTGTCCTAGCCACTTTTCAAGTGCCCTCTGTGTTGGCCACTATAGGTCTAGACTCAGAGCCCTGGGCAGCAGTGTCTGATGAGCTGAGCTCCCCGGCTTGCTTGGAGTTCTGTGCAGGAGGAGGGGGACTAAGCYCCACACAAGAGTTGGAAGAGTTGGGCAGGTGAGGTGCTCACTGTAGCCTGTGTCCCTGCTACTCCTCATGTGTCTCTGACCAGTTCGTCCCTGCTACTAGCCCTTAAAAAAAGTTGATGTTTCTCTGGGATCCATTTTTGGTCTTCTGGTCTTTTCTCTAGGCCTGTCCGCCTTCTCTCCCTCCCTTTGATTGAACCCAGGGCCACTTACCCACAGAGCCACATCCCCAGCCCTTTTTAATATTTTATTTAGTGTCAGGGTCTGGCTAAGTTGCTCAGGGCCTTGCTGAATTGCTGAGGCTGGCTTTAGACTCGTGATCCTCCTGCCTCAGCCTCCTGAGCYGCTGGGATTACAGGYATGCACCACTGTGCCTGGCTCTCCTGGCTCTTTCTTTGGGTGATGTTATCTTTTGGTTTCAGCCATCCTTTGTATGCTGATGACTTCTGTATATTTGTATCCCCACCTTTTTTCTAGTTTTATAGTTACATATTCATTTCTTGATGGATATAGTTTCTTATATGTTCCCTGGGCCTCTCCTACTCAGTTTCCCATTTTGAACTTAATCTTTCCTTTACACCTGCTCTTCCTCTTCTTTCCTCTAGTCCTATTTAATGGGACCATTATATGTTAATTGTTTAAACCCAGTCCAGGGCAAGTTAATCCTGAATTTCCCTTCAAATTTGGCCCTTCTCGGAGCCGTTTCTGGTGTCTTATTGACCTTTGGTAGTAGCCCTTTAACTTGCCCCCTGTCTTCTTACAGTCCTTTTCTCCCCACCCCCAGCTGTTCCAGGCACTGTAGCCACCACTCCACTGCTTGAACTTTTTCACTGTCTGTGGAGGGAAGTTCAGGCTGTGTGGTGCTGTCAGGGCCTCCCTGTCTGTCTCTTCAGTCTCCCTGATGCTCCTGACCTCTACTCTGGTCCCGTGATCATGGCTTGGTGGCTACCTGTGGAGCGATATTGTCTATACAGCCAGAACTGTTCTCCCGGCCCTCTGCCTCTGTGGATGTGATGTGACTGTTCACTCTCCCCGTTGTGCCCTTTCTTGCAAGCCGTTTATTTGGATGTTCTCTGAATTAATAACCTCTGGCTGTTTTCCCTGGTCGTGGAGGCTGGGCTTCAGACCCAGACTCCTTGTTTCCCAGGGTCCTTGTCTGTGCAGTGTCTAGCTCACTATATTTTTATTGAACTGAATTAAGCAAGTTTGAAGGAAGTCTAGGTGGGAAGATATGTTGGCTGCAGTTGCAGACATCTCTATGAATAATGAGCATTCAAATGCTTGATGGTGAAATGAAAATCAGATTTTATTGTTTTGCAGATACTGTTAGTTTGGGGAGAAAATAACTTCAGGAAACGAATCTTTTCTTGTCATAATCATATCTCTTGTTGTGCATCAACATAACGAATAGCTAGCTTAGCTAGTTTTTAATATTCCGTCGTATTGTGTGCATGCTGGCTGTCTCTGACATCTAGGATCATATCATATATCATCTTTGTCCCTTGTATCTTGGGGTGCTGAGGATCACATGTGTTCTGTGCCTATTTTGCTCCTGCCAAGGCTGATATCAAAGAAGAATTTGCCAATGTTTATTCCTTGAGCAAGGGTTGGCAAACTAGCAGTAGTGTTTTGTAAATAAAGTTTTATTGGAACACAGCCAAACCATTGATTTACATATTATTTATTCATAGCTCCTTTGTGCTGAAACAGTGTAGTTGAAGAGGCCATGTGGTTTGCAGTCTAAAGTGTTTATTTTGGTTTTGACATAAAAAGTTTTGCCAACCTTTGCCTTAAAGCCACTTAATTATGGAAAGAAAAAACCTTACATTAAATCTATCCAAACTGGGCCCTACTCTCTGATTAGGAATTAGAAGAATACAGAAGAAAAAATATAGACCTCCTTGACCTTGTGTTATGTATTTGGTGGGATGATTTTGTGAAATTTCTTGTTTTTCTTTCATTCTGCTACGTGTGTTATGGAAGAGATTGTCCACATTTCCTACTGTGCCTCAGATGTGAATATTATATTTTTATTCTAAAAATTTAAAATTAATGTCTTTAGTCACATGGAAAACAGTGGATACCCGAGTTAGGTATGTGAAATCTAAAGTGCAGACAAAGTTTGTGTCTATGGCAGACTGCGTAATGCATAGAGGATTTCCATTAAAACAGTTTATATTTTCAGTGTAAGTGTCTTCTTCCCTGTGCCCTCCCGCCCTTTGTCCACCCCTGCCTCTATCCTTCTGTGGGCAGAGTACCTTCTGGTTTGGCAAATTCTTTATTTGTCTCCCCATTCGTGAAAATAAGTAAGCTACCTTTTAAGCATAAAGGTAAAATGTTGGAGGTGTGAACTTATTAAGGTGCTGTATACTTTACCCAGTGTTGACTGGTAAGGTGTAGGCACGTGCAATGTCACCTGGAAAGCAGTGTCAGCAGCAATGTCACCTGGAAAGATGGCACTGAGTCAAGGGATACCAGAGCCCTCCTCAGCTATTGCATAGTGAGGGTCTAGGGACTTGGGTGGTGGCCAGGATAGGGAGGGGTACCAGTTGATGATCAGTCTTGCTCTGACATCTTTCTATAACCTGTACATGATGCATATTTACTGTGAATTTTGCTTATGGAAAAATTTTCAATTTTTGTGACAGTTATTTTCTTTTCGGGATATAATTAAATTTATATATTTTAGATTGCCTGCCTGATTCGAGTTCCTTCAGAAGTGGTTAAGCAGAGGGCACAAGTATCTGCTTCCTCAAGAACATTTCAGATATTCTCTGATATCTTATATGAAGAGGTGAGATGTTTTTAGGTTTTCTTTCCTTCTCTTTGCTGAATAGCATTTTATAGTAGTTAATAGAACACTGTGTGGCTCATGACCAGAGCCTAAGAGGAAACCTTGGAGCTGAATTTAATGTTMAATTATAGTAACTTTTAAATTAAGATTATCTTTGCCTTTTCTTTGTTTTTGAATTTCTAATTTTATTTCTTTTTCAAATTTCTGACCAAACATACAGGGAGTAGTACCATTATATATGTATCCTGTTGTTATCTTCCTATATTTATTTTAGAACCAGACACAGAACAAATGATAAATATGTAAAGTGAATAACTATATTAAAATATCCCTATAGAATTTGAGGGCCCAAAAAAGAAATATAGTAATGGACCTAGAATAGTGACCAGCTTCATAATATTTGTGTCAAAATATAATTTCTCTTTTTCTGATTAGAGTTGGCTTGAGTCAAAAATTATTTTTTTCTAGACATTGACTAGGGAAGGAGCACTTAGCTGTTCTCCTTCATAGTTTTTTATAGAAGCTTTCGTTTGTTTTGTTTTTTTGAAGCAGGATCTGATTATGTTGCCTAGTCTGGCCTCAAACTCTTAGGCTCAAGGGATCCTGCCTCAGCCTCCCTAATAGCTGGACTATAGGCCCATGACATGGCACCTGGTGTTGTTTTTTTTTTTTAAATAGGGGTTATTTTCAGCCTGTGGTGGTGATGTACTCCATCAACTCAGGAGGCTGAGGCAGGAGGATCACAAGTTCGAGGCCAACCTTGGCAGCTTACTGAGACCCTGTCTCAAAATAAAAAGGGCTGAGGTGTAGCTGAGTAGTAGAGGGCCTCTGTGTTCAATCCCCAGTAACTAACAYCCCTCTCCCCMCCAAAAAAAAATCAATCTCAATGAATGTAGGTTTTAAGAAAGTTGTTCTTAATAGTGTGTCGCCCGAGCAAAGAATAAGGAGACATTGAATACCTAATGAATGAGATCTGTCCTATAGGATCCTTATTGGACCATGCATATAAATCATGGTTTGTCTGGAAATATATACCACTACTTTATTGAGCAATTATTAATAAATTTGTGATGTTATGAAATGTTTTCTTTTTATATGAAAGGATAATTGACATTTATATGCATCTGTTTTGGAAATATATTCAAAGCATCTCATGCTTTTTTCATGAGAAGAAATATTGAATAATAGCAACTAAAACTAAATGAACATGTAGGCAGCCAGTTTGTTTTTAGAGATGCTCACATTTTTTAAGGGAACTCACTTGAGTTTAGAACCTACTTCTTGTAGAACTGAGGTGTGGGTGAATGTTTTAGAACCCACGTTTTAGAGCAGATGAATCTTTTTTTTTCAGAATGTCATTTAGAAATCTTCTTTGCCTTTCTGACTTCACAAGTTCTTGTTTTTTTTTTGTTTGTTTCAGGGCATCCAAGGCTTGTATCGAGGCTATAAAAGCACAGTTTTAAGAGAGGTAACTCATTTAATTTCCACTATTGAAGTGCAAAAGAGTGATGTGCTCTGTTTGGTATGTGTGTGCATGTACGTATTTGTTTCCCCCTCCCCCGTACTAGGCACTGAATCCAGGGGTGCACTACCCCTGAATACATCCCAAGTCCTTTTTATTTTTTATTTTAAGACAGGGTCTTGCTAAGTTGCCAAGAAAGACCTTAAGCTTGCAATCCTCCTGCCTCTGCCTCTCAGGTAGCTGGGATTACAGTAAATTTATGTGTTTTTAACAATCAGAAATAAATTTGGAGAAACTAGTTTAAAAGACCAAAAAAATGGGCCGGACACAGTGGCACATTCCTATAATCCCAGTGGTTTGGAGACTAAGGCAGGAGGATTGAAAGTTCAAAGCCAGCCTCAGCAATTTAGCGAGACACTAAGCAACTTAATGAGATCCTATCTCAGAATAAAAAATTAGAAGGGCTGGGGATATGGTTCAGTGTTTAAGCATACCTGGGTTTAATTCCTGGTATCAAGTAAATGAATAAAAATAAAGGGAATTATGCTCATTCTTTTTTTAAAAAAATATTTATTTTTTAGAAGTAGTTGGACACAATACCTTTATTTTATTTACTTATTTTTACGTGGTGCTGAGGATCAAACCCAGAGCCTTGCACGTGCTAGGCGAGTGCTCTACCATTAAGCCCCAGCCCCAGCCCTATGGCCATTCTTTTAAACACTGTTTAGTTTTGTTTTGTTTCTTCCATCTAAAAGAATGGTAGAAGGGGTTTGCTGGAAGAGCCACCCTCTGTGGTCAGAGTGGCCACACATCATGCCATGTAGCTTCACTGTCACTGTAGGGTCACTAAATATCTCTTAGAGCCAAAATATTGAGAAATAACTAAGAATAAGATATCCAGTTAATCACTGTAGTTTAGAGAATTAATAAGAAATTAGTAATGAAAGAAGCACTCTAAGAGATGAGTATGCTTTCCTTATAAGCACCGACACTGTTAAATGTAAAAGGATTTTTCGCAAGGTGACTATCTGCAGTGTAGCCTAGTTGTTCAGGAGCTTTGAAGAACTTCCTTTATTTGCAAACCAAATGTTTCAAAATGAGTTATTTGTGTGAAGAGGACTTCAGTCTTTCAGAAATATCACCTATACTGTATCTTCTTTCTGTACTTGTTTTCTGACTTTTTAAAACTGTGTTACTTATTCAGATTTCACCTGGGCACAGGGGAAAAGGGCCCTTTCTTTTTTTTTTCTAAAGTGTGCTGAATAAATGACTATATTTACATTCCAGCGAGTATTGGTTTTGCATATAAAAAGGCAAAACACATGGTTACAACTGTATTGTATTCTTCTGAAAATTTGTTTTGACATATGTTATGATAGTAATTAATTTTTTGACTACAATCCTGGCAAATAGCTTGACCTCCCTGAGACGACTTTGTTTGCTCAAAACATCAGTGCTTTGTTGGAAATTTAATTGGGGTCTTCTGCATTGTGGGTGTTCATAAAAGATCCTTCAGAACCAATTTTAGTTGAAGTCTTGCTTCTGTGGAAACTCTCAGATAGAATGAGTGGGTTATTGCTGAATGAAACATAGCTACTTTTCCAAGTGAGAAAAACAAGAAGTTTGCTTTGAAAAATTTTTTTGCTTTATAAATAGTTCCAATTCTTCGATTATTCTTACACCAATATCAAATCTTTTCCCYAAGAGCTCCTTCGATTGTTCCATCAACAAAATACRTGGAAGCTTTAATGAAAATTGTGAGGAGATTTATACATTTATTCTGAGTGCAATTAAAATATAGTTTCCTCTCTCTAGCAGTAATGTATTAAAATTAGATCAAAGTTTGAATTCATGTATTTATAATAGATTATGTGTGTTCTGTGGACTTTGTTCTGTAACTTTGCTGTTAGACTTTTTAAATATCATGTGATGTTTCTGGAAATTGGATGCTTATCTCTTATGTTCTACTATTTTAGTTGCTGTGAATTTCACACTGAGTCTAAGCAAGGTGAGCAGATTATACTATTTACCTCGCCCTTTCAGTTATCGTTTTTCTCATGATTTTTGTCAAATTAGATGTGGATAAGCATCTTAATGCAGGGATATTGTTAAAATGAGATGAAAGCGGGGAGCAGAATCGTAGCTGCTGTTATAGCCACAGTGATTTCAGATGGTCCATTGGCCTAAAAATTTTGTGGAGAGCAGCCTTGTGATGTAGATATGAAGTAGGATTTCTATAGAGAACCAGAGAAAGGTAGTTTGTTTTAGAAGAAGCAGGAATAAGCTCAGCAATGATCTTTTATCCACAAATTCTTTGCAACATTTTTAGAATGTCTGCTGTGTGTGGGGCATAATGCAGAACACATCTGCCTTGAAGGATTTTCCTTATGGGGACACACATCGGCGAGTGTCTTTTTTTCCAGGCAGGGCAGCAGTGAGGTGTGTATGTACAAGTGCACCTGGGATTGTAGAGGAAGTGATGCTTGTGGTAGTCAACTAGTATTTTATATTAATAAAGATGAGCCTTGGCTGAACTCTGGAAAAAGTGGCTGTTGAAGCAGTCAAGGAAGGCAGATATAATAGCAAAGGCACAAGGAAGGAACATGTATATTTTGCTTGTTTAAGCAAAATTGGGGATTTCATGCCCACAGAAGACAGTGACTTCCCAGATGTACCTTAAGCCAAGAGAGGATGCTTCAAAGCGCACTCACAAAGTGGGATATTTGCAAGGAGCAGTTGAACTGTCACCTCAGTTAGATATTTGCTAAGCAACTAGAGAGGGCCATATGGGAAAGGCCTGGAAAGTGCCTGATTATTATCCCCTGGAGTTTGGAGGACACATGAATGTTGTGTGGCTTTAGCTGTGCAAATCTGAAGGTACTAAGCTGGTTGGAGGTGTCTGAGTGGTAGAATGTTGTCATTTTGGTAATGAATAACTCCTGGCTTCTTTTTGATAGATGAGAGTAGCCACTGAAGGATTTGGAGGTAGCTGAGGATTGCTTCTGCTATTCCCAATTTTGCCACAAGCAATCAAGCAGGTCAGACAGATCTTTCAGCCTGGACTGTAAGTTCCCTGAAGCCACCAAGATTTAGGTATAAAAAATCACCACTCACTGAAAAGTTTACTCCAAATCGCATACAGCAGCTTTCCAAACATGGTTACCCTTATCACATCCTTCATTTATTGAGAATTTCCTCTCAAATCCAGTGCCCAGACACAGGCCCCTTTAGGGACCAGCCTTTGGATTGCCTTTTTTTTTGTTTTTTTTTAAGAGAGAGAGACAGAGAGAGAGAATTTTAATATTTATTTTTTAGTTATCAGCGGACACAACATCTTTGTTTATATATGGTGCTGAGGTTCSAACCTGGGCTGCACGCATGCCAGGCGAGCGCGCAACCGCTTGAGCCACATCCCTAGCCTTTTGGATTGCCTTTGAAAATCTCCTGCCCAGATCTGTTGTCTGCTCAGTCCAGGTCTTCCCCTGACACTCTTCATGTTGTTGTAGTCTTCTGTGTCTTTCTAAAGGTATTCATTCCTTGGGTTATATATCATGTAGTCTTTTTTTGTTTTCTTTTTTGGGTACTGGGGATTGAACTCGGGGGCACTTGGCCTCTGAGCCACATCCCCAGCCCTATTTTGCATTTTATTTGGAGACAGGGTCTCACTGCGTTGTTTAGCACCTTGCTTTTGCTGAGGCTGGCTTTGAACTCGCAATCCTCCTGCCTCAGCCTACTGAGCTGCTGGAATTATAGGCATGTGCCACTGCCCCTGGCTCACTTAGTCATTTGTTAATCTGTTTTTTTTTTTGTTGTTGTTGTTGTTGTTAATCTGTTTTTGAGATCATTGTTAATGGTTTCATGAAGCGCACCTTCACTTTTCATGAAGCGCACCTTCACTTTTCATGATTGTGTGATACTGTTTTACAAATGAGCCTTTATGTGTTCAGCCACTCCCTAGTGGTGAGCATTTCAAATGTGCTGCCATGCCTCTGTTCAGATGTCTTTTTGTATAGTTGAGAGTGTTGGTAGGTTACATGCCTGGAAGTAAAATTACCTGGATAAAGGGTGTTTACAGTTTTGATGGATACACCAAGTTGCTTTATGAAGATGCAGAGGGCACTTTGCCTCCCATGTGGAGCTCTCTGTTTTCCAATCCTCAACAGTGGTACCAGCAATCTGTGAAATGGAAAAGATCATTGCAGTTTTAATTTTAGTTGTAAATGAGGCTGAGCATATTAACATATTTCGTTTCCTTCACTGTGTATTGATTATTTGAACTACCATGAAATTCTTGTGAAAATTAAATAAGGGGTACTTTCAGGGGTGACTGACACATAGTATGTGCACAAGAAAATGAACTGTGGTTGTTTGTGTGGTAACTAACAGAACCTTTGTCAGTGAAGGACACCTAAACGTGAATTACAGCTCTGCCCTTACCAGCTGTTTGCTTTGGACATGTTATGTGCTTCTGAACCCAGCTTTGCCCATTTGTGGTAAGAACTCCGCATAGACTGTTCTTTTTGAAATGTTGAATCTCATGGCCGTCCTGTGGGATGGGTGTTAAGGCAATATGGACTACTAGGAAGCTTAGAAATTAAAGTTGCTCCTGGATTGTTAGGTTCTTGAATGGGATGTAACTTAAATGTGTAAATGTGGTTTCATGATGAGGGGTAACAGTTGCTGTTTTTGAATGGGAGGCCACACAACCATAATTGCTTGTAGCCACATTTGTTTCATCCAGATGTTTTGTTGAGAGGAATTTCTTACAGTTGAATTAAACTGTAGTCTGCCAACTGATTTTGTGTTCCCTGGCTACTTCTGTAGGAAAAACAGCAGCTTGGTATAATAATAGGAAGTTACCCTAACTGATGGTTGAGCTGATCAAAATGACCAATGTTATTTTAGAAAGGGTTAGAAATACTTTATGAGTACTCTTTTTTGAATCAAATTAGCAATTTGTTGTAATGTTTGTTTCAGGGAAGATTACCCATTCAGAGAAAGACTTT